GGTGATAATCCCGTCGCGGCCTGAATGGTATTATTGTAGGCTATGACAGCACGTGGCATAGCATCGAATGGATCGAGGTCACGACCTAACTTGAGCAACCGTAAGTGTTCCCCTAAATTATTGTGGAGCTGTTCCACGGCGCCCCTTCCCTTAATATGATGTGGGGTGTTCAAACGCCAATTGATGCCCAATGTCTTGCTCTTATCTCGAATTAGCGAGTTATCGAACTCTCTCCCGCAATCTGAGACGATTTCGTCTGGGACACCGTAAAATGAGCACCATTGCAAGATCCCTTCCCAAACTGCCCCAGGGGTTTTTGACTCAATGGGATAGGCCATAGCAATTTTACTGAACGGGTCTATCGCCGTTACCCATGATTGCCCCTCGTTGGAATAAACGTCTACCTGTATGGATCGCAGGGGTTCTGTAGCGGTAGGGGTGACTACTTGTTCGGCTACCGGAGGTTGACGATCGTACTTTGCTCTTTGGCACACCTCCCACTGCGCTACGCAGTCCCGTACGGTACGGCCCATACCTTTCCAATAATAGAGCAATTTCAATGCACGAAGAGTCTCCTCTACTCCCCGGTGATTTGTTTTCCCAGAATGGTGTTCCGTTACTAGATTCTGTTGTGCCGCTGGTTCTGTAATCGTTTCTACCTGACGTAAACACCGCACTAGCGAGTACCCCATTCCTATCCTTTCCTGGCGCCATAACCGCTTCAATTTCTCCGCAATCATCCGATTACCCACATAGACATAGCAATTCCGTCCTGGGTTACTGAATTCCACGAATATACGTTCTAACGCGTTTTCATCTATAGATGCGGGGGTGCGAACTAATATAGTTGACGAACCTTCATACGTGCTCGCCCTGGTTTCTATTTCGGAGTCCTGCTTTGATTTTATAATGATCTGTAGTCTTTTATTGTTAATGATTTCGTCTACTTCGGGCAGTTCCGCGGGTCTGTCCGTCGGTGTAGCAATTTCCTCGGCCTCACTCTGGACTAAAGGAATCTCTGGTCCGCCTTCCGCCCACTCGCGTAGATATCGTAGCGCGAATGGCTCTGTCGGGACCTCCTCGTCCTCGATCGCGTTTACTACTAGGTCTCGTGACAACCAATCGGCGACCGCGTTGTCGACGCCCTTTTTATGTATTACGTGAAAGTCGTAAACCGCTAGACGCTCCTTCCACCGTGATACCCGTGCAGAAGATTCTTTAAGAGTTCCGAGGTGCAATAAAGGCTTATGATCGGTCAGTAACTGAAACCGTCTCCCGTAAACGTATGGTCGGAAGTATTCCACAGCCCACACTACCGCCAAAAGCTCGCGCTCGGTTGTACTATAACGTTGTTCTGCCCCATTCAACTTCCGCCCCGCGTATGCTAGTGGTTTCTCGCCACCTTCGAAATTCTGAGAGAGCACGGCCCCGATAGCTACCTCGCTGGCGTCTGTGGTGATTTTGAACATTTTAGCGAAATCGGGGAAAGCTAGTAGTGGCCGAGTGGTCAAAATCTCCCGGCATTTCTTAATGCACGCTAGCTGGTCTGGACCTAATTGAAACCGCCTCCCTTTTTTCAATGTTTCGGTCAATGGATGCGTGAGTTCCGCTATTCCGGGTATAAACTTTCGATAGTAATTTATCATACCCAAAAATCGCCTGACCCCACGGGCGTTCTTAGGTAAGGGTGCTTCCAGGATGGCCTTTACCCGCTGCGGGTCCGGCTGTATCCCGTTCCGTGAGACCACGTGTCCTAGAAACTTGATTTCTCGTAACCCGAATTGAGACTTTTCTCGAGATAACTTTAGGCCGAATTCGCGCACCCTGTCAAAAACGCGTTTTTGGTGTTGCACGTGGTCCTCCTCAGTTTCACTAAAAACGATGAGGTCGTCCATATAGACCTGTGAGTAGGATTCGCCCAGTCCTCGCTGTAGTTCGTCCATAAGGCGTTGGAAAGTCAGTGGGGCCCCTTTTAGCCCGAACGGCATTCGAACGAATTCGAAGTGTCCCCTTTCCCAAGAAAAGGCCGTCTTACCGATATCCTCCTCGGCCATCCGGACCTGGTGATACCCGCTCTTTAAGTCCAGCGTGCTAAAAATAGTCGCCCCTGACAGTCGATCAAGAATATCCTCGACCCGAGGAAGGGAATACCGCTCGTCCTCAGTCGCCTCGTTCAGTTTCCTGTAATCAACTACGCCTCGATACTGTTTCGCGTTGCCGCCCTGCTTCTTTTCTACCACCCACAGAGGGCTATTAAAGGGGGAATTACTCTGTCTAATAATGCCCTGCTTAAGAAGTTCTGCCAATTGTTCTCCGATAATCTCTCTCATGGCTTGCGGGTAACGCCGATTTTTAACGTAAACTGCGGCTTCCGACTGCAGATTTATTCTATGCACCGTTCGACCCGTGGTTGGTAGGTACTCGTTTTCGTGGTAGAATAAATCCTCGTTTTGCGCGACTAAGTTCGCTAGCGAATCTTTGATGCAATCCACGGCCCCGACTTCCATGAATCCTCTACTTCCTATTATCTTTACCTCGTAGTATCGTTCCCCTATTCTATACCGCCATGTCTCGTTCCTATTCTTAATTTTAAACCCAACGCGGTTTAAAATGTCACACCCGACTATCAGATCCTGACCCTGCATCAACTGCGAAATTATGTGTATCGTGATCCGCGAGTCACGTCCCGTGAGTTCCTTGAGGTCAAAGAGTGTCTCCCCCAGCGTCTGACCTCTGCCATGAATCGTTGACACCGCACAGTCGCATCGTTCCCGTTTCGCCCAGATTCCCAGTTTCTCCGCCGCCCCTATATTGATCAAGGAATTCGTACTCCCCGTGTCAATGAGAAATTTGATGCCGGATTCTCTCAGTCTCGCCACGGGCAACCTTGTCCGCTGTCCTGTATTCGCGCTGTTGTTAATAATTAAACCCCCCGGTCGGTTGCCCCACCCGTTGCCGCGTCCTCAGTCCGAGCGCGCGCGTCCTACCGCTACCTCCGTTCCTGACGGTCCCCCCTCCAGGGATTCCCGCCACTCACCTCTTGCCTCCTCGTAGTCGGACCACTGCGCCCCGACCGGATGCTTTCGTCCTCCGAAGATTCTCCGCTGGTGTAACGTCCCCCGCCTCTCCTACCAGTCCGCCTTTCGCTCCAGTCCTGGTTGTTGATCTCCATGGGCTCGTGCTGTGGTTCCCTTCTGTTCGGTCGGGGGTTGCGCCTTGGACATTCTCTCGCAACGTGCCCCTGCCTGCCGCACTCGTAACACCTCGTGAGCTTACATTGGGCCGCTACGTGACCCGTTCGATTACATTCGTAGCAACGGCGCCCAGGCTTCCGGTCTCCCGTCCTCAAAGCCTTTGCTTGGTCGCTTTTCGAAGCCTCCGTTAGTGTTACTCCTCCTCGTAATACTGCGGTGCCGCCTTCTCGGTGATCTCACTTCCGTCCATTCCGCTTCCGGTTTTTCGAAGCGAGTTTCGTTCCGCTCCCTCGCATCGACCAGGTCGTGGGCGCATTCAATAAAATCGCGGTCTCTGGGCAGTGATCCCGGACGGTCCAAATAATGGTTTAGTTGTACCTTTAGCACACCCCTTAGAAACTCCATCTTCTGGGCTCCCTCCGCCTGGCCGCATGTTTCCACCATCTTCTCCGTCAGTCTATTGTATAACACCAATAGTTTTTCGGCGAACTCGCCTTCCGATTGGCCCTGGGTTCTGCGCTCTTTAAACAAATAGAAAACGTCCTCTTCCGGGGTCCACCTGCCACCGCCGTATAGCTTCTTGAGCCGTATCTTCAGCGTCTCCCAGGAGACCGTCAAATCGCCCTGTACGGCGTTCAAAACCCGCCTCGAGATACGCCCAATCAAAGAGGCTTCCAATATTTTTACGTCAGACTCAAGCAACGTGCCTGACTCCTGTCTGGCGGTAATCAAAGTTTTAATCTGGTCACCACCTTTGATAAAGTGTTCGAGGTCACCTACTACACCTGTGAACGGTTCTAACTGGCTAATTACCTCGTGAATAAATGCCGAGTTCTGCGTCCTTATCTTAAGCAACTCGATCTGAGTGTTTTCGGTCGCTTTCGATAGCTGCGTTTCTAGTTTCTGACGCTCCGCTTCCAATTTCTGTCTCTCCACCGTAGACTGAGCAAGTTGGTACTCCAGCTTTTTCAATTGTTCTTCCATCGTAATTGTCATCCGTAAATCGATTGGAAGCTTGTGTGGGTTCGCCTAGTAATTTTTCCGAAATTCGCGATACTATTAGCCGCGCGGTAAAATTCGGAATTCTTCCCGGGTTTCGGCACCACTTACGATTAGACTGAAAGACTGATCGAAAAAAAAGGGTTTTAGGGCATAGTAACAGTACACAGGTTCGTGAGCAACTGACTTTATTATCTACTTTATCCAATATATATAGATACGGTTTGTTTTCATTTACAATGCTTTGTTAATCTTATTAGTAACACAGTCCCTATTATTGTTTACGGCTTATACTAAGCTAACTTATATATATATATATATATATATATATAAATTTTTTTTATTTGTCTTCCCCTTCCTTACCTTTTAGGTTATACAAGGGTTTCCCGAGCGATGGAGTGAGGACGGGGGATTAATGCCAGAGTTAAAAGACTCCCTTGACAACAAGATGTGAACTCGGTATTATTTTATCACATTAACTTCTATCTGGATAGGCAGGCAACGCGTGCTGCTGTGTACACGCTTTAGCCCGCTCGGCCACCTCACCCCTAAAGAGGCTTCTGATATGAAAAATTATCTTAATAAAGCTATGTATGATATTATCATTATTATACATTTTGTCTTATTATTATTATTTTATACAATAAATATTAGCCCAATGAACTTGTCGAAGGTATCAATATATTAACAGTGTAGTAGGTTTCATTTTTCTTCTGTTATCAATTTTATTATGATATGCATTATAAATTATTTCAGAATATAATATATACTTAAATATTAATAAGCTATCAAACTTGAGATACTCACTCGATCAAAACCAGATTTCAAAGCTGTGTTCATACAGTCTTCTTTATCATTGGCACTGAAATTAAAGGAAACAATTTTTAAAAAACAAAACTAAAAGTATAATGAAACTAAATAAAACAATTTCTAGAAATAAAAATTACCTTTGTTTTACAATACCAATGAAGGTAACTTTATGCTCCATCTTAATTGCTTTAAGAACCCTGAAATGAATTGATAATAGATTAAATGATTTCATTAATTGTAATTTCATCCATATTTCAACTAAAATAATTTATAATTATAAATTAATAAAATAGTTTAAAAATGAGGACATGGTGGTTGAGTGTGTTAAGGCACATGCAAAAATATTACTAGCTACATGTAGTGAGCATAAACTGTCTTTGGTAGATCATGACTGTATTGGTAGTTCCTTGGAAATTTCTGAGTTTGAAGAAGGCATGTACTTCTTCTTTATCATCTTCCTTTGTGCCTCTCAGCGTGGAGGTGCCCTGATCCAGGACTCAGAAGCCTCCCGATCCTGAGCCAGCGCCTCCATAGAATTCATAGACTTCCCTTTCTTTTCAGATATGGTCCATCTATAGCAATCTAGGTCTTCCTCAAGGACGGCATCCGTTAGGACTGGCCTCAAAAAACGTCTTTGGATCACGGTCTTCATTCATTCTGCATAGATAACTAAACCATCCCAACTGCCTTTTTTTGACTGTTCCGAGTTCAAGGAATATAAGAGGACCGCCTGATATAATTTTGCCCTGGACACCAAAAACAGCTCTGCTCACACTTATACTAACTTTAGTAGTATATATAATAAAATTTGGAGTCAGGAATTTTTGGACCCACTTCAGCATTTAGAACACAGTATACTATTGAAGTTTTCTGAGAAATAATATATAAAAAATTGTATTAAAATTTGAAGAAAAATTCCTATAGCTCTATGGGGTGTTGACCTGGGCAAAGTAATGGGGCAGTTTTATCTAATACATATTGACACTATAAATTTTTTTCATGTTTTTCAAAGTGGTGTTTCAGTGTTTTTTTTTTGTTTTTTTTAATCTGTTTATTGAATAATAATACAATCAGCCACTGCTGGAGGGCTATAAGCATTAGGGCTAAAAGTTCTCATTCATACAATATATACAAATAATAAAGAAATAAATATAAATATAAATATAATAAGTAAATAAATAATACTGGTGAAGAAGTTAAATAAAAATAAAATAAACAAATAAAATAAAATAAAAACTTCTAAACACAATCATACCTATATACAATATATACATTCGCCCAAGAATCTCCGAGCCAGGCTTTTTCCCCTACACGTGGAAGGCAAAGCAAGACTCCGGAAGATCCCAGCGCCACTTTTCCAGCCGCATCACTAGTATTAGAAGCCAATGGAGACTGAAAGAGGGCACTAGAGCCACAGACGCTCAGGACATGAGTGGAGAAGCTGGCCATTGCCAGGACTCCAAAGGCATATTTACAAAAGATCTCGAGGCCACTGCCGTTTCAACCTTCGAGGGGGATGGTATGGATGTTCGGAGCTGGATAGGGATTGCGCTAGAGGATTGGGATGATGAATGAGGTTCTGGTGAAAGTTGGAGAATCTGGATGGGATGATGTCATGGACATATGGGATGTTAAGGTCATGGTGTAGGGTCTTGTTCGTGACATAATATGGAGCATTGACTATTGTTCGAAGGACTTTGGACTGGAAGGATTGGATGCGTTTGATATTCGATGATTTAGTTGTCCCCCACAGTTCAAGTCCGTAGGTCCAGATAGGTTTCAGTATGGTCTTGTAGATTAATAATTTGTTTTCTGTTGAGAGATGAGATGTTCTGTTTAGTAGTCTATATAGCTGACCAAATCGTCGGTTAAGCTCTTGTCTTTTAAGTCTGGTATGTGGGTTCCAAGTCAGTCTTTTGTCCAAAAGGAAGCCAAGGTATTGGACTGTGTTTGAGTAGGGAAGAGGAATTGAATTAAAAAGGATTGGCGGACAGGATCTGCGTCGAAGAGTGAAAGTTACATGCTTGCATTTTGATTCATTAATTTTGATGCGCCAGTTGTTGCACCACTGCTCAATGAAGGAAAGGTGTCTTTGCAGGTTCTGAGACGCTATTAGAGGATCCGAGTGAGAGGATAGAATGGCAGTATCATCAGCAAATGTTGCTAGGAAGGTATCAGGACTTGAAGGGATGTCAGCGGTGAAAAGGATGTAGAGAACTGGGCCCAAGACACTGCCTTGTGGAACACCAGCCTCATTGGATAATGTTTGGAGAGTTCAGTGCCGCAGCGGACTTGAAAGGAGCGATTTGAAAGGTAGGATTTGAGGACTAGGTACAAGGGTTGAGGTAAATGGGTTTTGAGCTTGAAAAGCAAGCCATCGTGCCACACCCGGTCGAAAGCTTGAGCTACGTCCAGAAAGGCACCAGTGCAATATTGCTTGTTTTCAAGTGCAGAGGATATGTGGTCCACAACGCGAAGGCCTTGTTGGACAGTGGAGTGTCTTGAGCGGAATCCAAACTGATGGGGAGGGATATTGTGGGATTCGAGTATGGGTAGGATGCGTTTGAGAAGGATTTTCTCAAAGATTTTGGAAAGGATCGGAAGTAGGCTTATCGGTCTATAGGATGATGTATAATTAACAGGTTTACCTGGTTTAGGAAAGAGGATAATTATGGAGTGTTTCCACACCAGAGGAAAGTGGGTTGTGCGGAGGATACAGTTGAATAGGTATGTAAGGAATATAATTGCTTTTTTGGGAAGTTGTCTGAGGATCTGGAAGTAAGGAGATCGTGTCCTGGAGATTTGCGAGGTTTTAGGTTCTTTAAAAGGAATTTGACCTCAGAGGGATTGACGGCTGTAGGAGGTAAGGAGAGAGGAATCGGTGAAGAGAGGAATTCTTTAACTTCAGCAGTATGGGAGGGATGGAGTTCAGGATGAGTAGTGAATGTGTACGATAGATGTTTAGCAAACTCTTCTGCTCTATTCTCATCTGACGAAGCCCAGGAACCATCATCACGGCGGAGGGGGTGGGAAATGGATTGGAATTTAAGGATTTTTTTAGTTACATTCCAGATGGAGTTATCAATTGCAGATAGTGAGGAAAGATAGGAACTATAGGATTGGGATCTAAACGTGGCCAGTTTTTGTTTTACTTGCTTGGAATAATAGTTATATGATTTCCGATCATCAGGATGCCTGGTTCTTTGCCAGATAGTCCTAGAGCATCGTTTTCTATTAATAAGGTCCAGTAGGTCTTGGGGTAGAGGATTTGTTTTGCGGTATTTTTTAGAAGGATCAGGTGAAGATGCAGTCCAAACTGCTTGTTGGATCAAGGTAGTCATGGAATGTACTGCTTCATCTAGGTCTGTAGGTGTTTTTAAGGAAACTCTGAGTCAATATTATCATCCAGTATTTGACGGAAGAGGTTCCAATTAACTGGCCCCCTGATAAATGAAGGTGGAGGTGATTTGGGAATTGGTGATGTGGAAACCGTTAGGATTAGGCGACTATGGTCTGAGGAAAGATCATCAAGTCTTGAGATGCAATAATTAAGGGACCCTAGACCTTTGTGGATGAAAAAATCTAGGAGATCGGGATTGCGGTTAGGATCTGTTGGCCAGTATGTGGGAGAATTGGGTGAGAGGATGTTGCTGTGATGGGAATTAAGTGCAGATAGCAATGTTCGTCCTCGGGAATTTGTGGTTCTGGCTCCCCATTGCTGGTGTTTAGCATTTAAGTCTGCACCTAGAAGGAAGTGGTGTCCTAAGGAGTTAAGGAAGGAAGTTAATTGGGATTCTGAGATGGGTATTTTAGGCGGGGAGTATGCTGCGACTACTGCTATTGGGTAAAGGGAAGTTTGGATTATCACGGCAGTGGATTGTAGGAAATTATGGGTTAGCAAAGGGAATAGATGATGGGAAAGGGATTGATGGATAATTATGGCAGTGCCAGCATGTGCTGTTCCATCAGGATGGTCGGTTCGATAGATACGATAGTTGGGGATGTTAAGTGGTCGTTTGTTGGTAAGTCGAGTTTCAGTTATTAATGCTATATCAATGTTTTTGTCCTGTAATAAGATTGTTAGTTCGTTGATGTGATTTCGAATACCATTCGCATTCCAAAGGAGAACGGAGAGGGATTTGATTGGGGACATTTAAGGATTTCTCGGCAGTGGGATGAGGTTGGATACAACATTGGTAAGTAAGGAAATGAGAGGAGTGATGAGTGACCTGAATTCAGAGAGGAAAGAAGTCAATAGGCTTGTGAGGTCAGTGGCATTGGGAGGAGGAGGAATGAATGCCTGGTTATTAGGCCTAGGTTCAGAGATGGGATAAGCGTCTTGAGGTTGAGATGTGAATACTCGAGGTTGAGGTTCTTGTGGCAGGGCCTGAGTTTGTGTTGGTGCAGTGTCTCCTTTGAACATCTGAGCATAGGACACTCTATTATTTACAGTTCTATAGGGTTGTCTTGGTGGCCTGGATGGCCGTTCTTCTCTTGGAGGTGCATAAATTCTTGGTTTCAGTTCCTTATATGTTTGGCAACCCTTGTAGTTCACTGGGTACCCTTGATGGCATAAGGCGCATACTGCTGGTGTTCTTCTGGACTTCTGGCAGTCCTCTGTTTTATGTTGATCACCGCACCTGACACATCTAGGAATGTGGTGGCAATAGCGTTTCGTATGACCATAAGCCTGGCTGTTATGGCATTGTACAATGTCGCGCTTAGTGTAGGGCTTTTCTACAACAACGCTAGTGTAATAAAGGCGTGTGACCTTGTAAATGTCTTCAACCTGGGGCGTTCGGTCAAGGTCAACAAAGAATAGTGGGAGCGGTATTTTATTTTTTGTGCCAGGCTGTTCTCTATCTTCCTTGAATATATTCACTATTTGGCGAACACGGAACCCCATCTCAGTTAGTTCTTCTTTAATGGCATCCAGCGGTGTTGATGGGTGTAATCTCCTGATCACCACCCTGAGCGCTCTCTCTTGGCGCAGCTGATATGTATGGTAATCCGCCTTAGTGTCAGATAAATACTTGACAATTTTTCTGTACGTATCTGGGGTGTCAGGCATTAATTTCGTTTCATTAGTGCGGCTTTGGCATCAGTATTTCCCTGAGCCCACTATATTATTTAATTGTAGACACATTAATTGAAATTTTTTTATATTTCTAACGAATATTGGTGGGGGTTTAGGTTCACTAGGGATGGGTACTGCTTCCATTTGTTCATTCTGTGTGTTTGACAGCACTTGGAATGGATTAGCTGTAAAAAAGGGCGATTCCTCTAACGTACCTTGTATTGGTATAGCTTGTGTCGACATATTTTGTGACGATGTGCCAGGTTGATTTTCAACTGAGCTCTCTGGTGTAGCTGGCGGGGTATTTTTTTTAGAGCGTCTAGCCCTTTTCTTGATAGGTGAACTCTTTGTGGTATCGAGACTCCTAGATCTTAAAGTTCGATTGCTACCTTTGCTCGACATTACCATGTGAAAATATCGCATCTCATGTTAATTAATTAGAGGTAAATGTAATAATTTGTAAAAAAAAGTCCTTTATCAATTACGTATATATTACGCGAGTTTCTAGAATTCTCAGTAACGTAGATGTGCTTCCGCCGAAGGGCAGCAGCCCACTGGTCGGATTAGCGAATGCATATGGCCGGCTTGTTATCAATCACTATCCTCAGGTCTATTTACACTGTTCACAATGCCGTTATAAATAAGTGATTACTCACCTTATTTATGTCCAGTTTCAACTTAATTGTTAACTTAACAGTTCACACTACTTTTTCACATATAATATGAATTATTTCACTGATAATAAAGTCACTTTATAAGAGACGAAATAAATAGCGTATGTGTAGGGTTAACGCATGCGCAGAACTGGTATTTCAGTGTAAAATATTTGAATTAAACTTTTCACTACTTAAAGCTTGACTCAATTTAATCGGGTTATTTCAACTTTTTTTTTTACGTTTGTCATTATTGAATAGAAAAGTTCTAAATATAGTTGAAAAAATATTACAATGCAAGGAAATAATTGATTAATAAATCAAACATAAACAGCTAATAGGTAGTTAAGATTAACATAAAAAAATATCAAATTATATTTCCTTCTTAAAAGGTTCTTGCCTGGGCGAGCTAGTGTTATCTATATTATATCTAGTAAAACTAATAGAAATATATTGCAATACTTTGTGTTACAACGAAAGCACAGTCATGTCATGAAAAAAAAAATAATAATAATAATAATAAAGAAAAGACATATATATATATTTTTTTCTTATAAATATAGTATAGTATTGAACACACAAAGATATTGTCAGTGGATATGAGAGGATATTATTGCACTATTGTAATTGCACAAATGGTTAATGAACTTTAGGCTACTGCTCCTACTTTGTATTATTTTCCTCATGGGCAATTTTTTTTTTTTTCTGTTGACATTACAGACCTTGTAGATCGTTGCCGCCTCAGCAAGCCTGCGCCACCTCTGCCCATCTTGGGCCATTTCTTTATCTTCTTTCAGCTCTATTGCATCTTTGTCTTTTACCTTCTATTGAGGCATTAATTGTTACATAGAGGCTTCCAGATGGATTGCTATTAGCTACATGCCCCGCCCATCTTAAGCTCCATGCTTTTATATCATGGGATATTGATTGACCAGTTTCTGTAAGCAGATCATTATTGGTCTTTCTTCTACATGTGTTAGTACTCTGATCCCAGATCGCACCGGTTATAGTGCGATGGATGTTTCTCTCAATACTTTTTTCTAGGGTGCCGGTTAGTGTGCATGTATCACAGCCATATATTAGAACTGGCTTTATCATAGAATTTTACATTCTTAATTTGAGATTTTCCAAAAATTATTCTCATGACCAATATAAAAACAAAATGTTTTTGTCCTCAAGTTGTTTCCCGCACTATTGATCATGGGAATGATGAGGTTTTATGACCTTTATGAACCTGGCAGATGGAGTCCAAATCATGCCACAAAGGTTTGATTAGTTTTGATGTCCATATCTGAATAACTAAGTTCGCTTGCAGGAAAAACGGAAAACTGTTTCAAAGAGTACAAAGACAAAAAGTCTTGCAGTTGGAACTATCAAAATGTTATTTGCACAGCTATTACTTTTTGTGGTTATTTCCCTAAAAACTTGTTTCAATGGTCCAACCTACATTTGTTATATAATTAGTATTATAGAAGTATGCATTGTTTATAATTAAATCTGTAGCACCACTTTGAAAAATGTGACAAAATTGAGGAAGTCAATTTCGATGAGACTATAACTACCCTATAACATTGGTCTGTAGATCAACAGGAGTTTTTCTCCAAATGTTTAAACAATTTTTTGAGTATTTCCTCGAAAACAGTGATTGCCTGCAATGCTCTTAGTGGGGGTTGAAACATTTTATAAAAATTAATTTTAACAGTTTCTGTGAAACTTTCATAGAACTTTTTTAAAGATTTCATTTTAAGAGTTTCTGTGAAACTTTTTAGGAAAAAAGTTCTTTAAATAAAAGTTCTAAGGAAAATTTTTGTCATGCAGTTCCAGTTATATGGTATGGTAGATCCGCCTCTGGTTCTGTAAATCATCCTATATGTACCTCGAGTCTCTGATTTTGTTTCTAAAGAAAACGCCTCATCTCACAAATTCCTTAAAAGCACCAAGCTTCGTCGACGTAGTATCCATTCACCCAATCTCTTCAAGCAAGTATTAAACGCCTTTATGACATTTCTATGAGTTTTCTATAATCAAAAATAAAATGGGCGCCAAGAAATTTTCCAGTGAAATAAAAATAAACGTATTCCGTATCTGATTTTGAAATTATAAAGCCAACCTTACTTGCAATAAAATTTGCTTTGTCTGCCTTCTTGAAAAAAAATATTAAAGAAAAACTTTGTCTTTTTAGCTAAAATATTTTATAAAGAGATTCTTCTAGTTCTGAATGGCAGCCTAATTATGTTTTTCATTTAGAAACACTACAATGCGATTTTGATGAAACCATACGAAGAAATTCCTGTAATATGTACTGAGAAACAGAGCCATTTCTATTCCGCCTCTCATCAGACAACTTTAACTTTTTGTCTTTCTTGTTTGGATTGCTAGGGGATTATCGAGACCACCCTGTACTTTGTTAATTGAAAATCTTATAGTAAGATTAAATTATTGAACTTTATTTTACTATTCTTTAATTATTCATTTTGTTAATAAATTAGTTTTGTTTTTAAATTACCTAAGTGTTTGACTGGGTTCAGGAATACCAAGGTCAAGCATAACATAATGCGGCTGAAATGCAGTAAAATTAGTTCCAGCATCTTCATAACCTGTAACCAATCTCTGTTTGCATTCGGCATTATCAAGCCAGTTAAGAATTTGTGTACTCCAAATTTCATCTCCAACGATTAGTACCTGCATAAATAAAATAAGACTTCATTAAGATTTAAATGAAGGGAACAATGAAATTTGATTTAATTGTATTGAAATTTAAATTAAATGGGTATACATACAGTGTTACAAAAAAAAAAATTAAACAATTCAATAGTTTTTTTGTTCCAAATACTCTTTATTGTAACTTACTTTATTCTTAAAGCACATTATAACTGACAAATCTACACAATATAAAAAAATACATAACTGAGCCGGTGTGAACTCATAAATTTTAACTGGTATAGCAGCCAGCCCATCTTAAGAATGGAAAATTTATAATTTTAGTTAGCAGTTTCTCCACTGGTCCTTAATACCAGCAATTTGTCTGAGTGAGAGGTGCTGGGATCTCCTGGAGTCCTGCATTTCTTTCCACGAGTGGGGGAAAGGCTTGGCTCAGAGTTTCCAAGAGTGAATAAATTTTGTATAAAAGTATGTTTGTATTTATTGTACATAGCGTGTGAATGTGCTCTCTGAACACTATTATAAATGTCCTTTGAGACAGATTGTAATATTTCTCAAGTAACCAGTTCTAAAAAAAAATATTTTTTTTTATTTTGCCGTTTTTTCTCTCAAAAACTTTTTTCAATGGTCCAACCTATATTTGTTATATAAATAGTAATGTAGAAGTATGTATATATAGTGGTGGTTTCCAGATAGTTAGCTACGAGCTACATTTCCCAAACATCTTAACCTCCGTGTCTTCATATCATGGGATATTGATTGACCAGTTTCTGATAGCAGATAATTATTGTTCTTCCTTCTGTATGTGTTAGAACTCTGATTCCAGATCGCTCCAGTTACCATGCAGAGGATTTTCCTCTCAAATCTTTCAACTCTTTTTTTCTAGGATGCTGGTAAGTGTCCAGGTCTCACAGCCTGAAAATTATTATTGGCAGTAATTATAACTGGCTTTATCATTGTAAGGCCTTAATTTGAGATTTTTTGGGGTTTCAATACCTTTGAAAGGGAGAAGAAAACTCCGCTTGCGCTAGTTACACGCTGGTCTATTTATGCCCGTTGGTCATTTATTGAATTATAGTAAAGCCGAGGTATTTGAATTTTTCTACTCTCAGGAATGATTTTCCTTCTACGAAGATCCTGTTATTGGGGTGTAATTTTCAGCTTATTATCATATATTATGTTTTGTCTTCATCTGGCTCTTTTATCAGAATCTTAGGGAGTTTCTCAATGTCTTCTTGATTACTTCCAAGGACAGCCATAGCATCTGCATATCCAAGGGTTTTATGATTCATTCCAACGTGGACCCCTCCATTTTCCTGTGAAGTTGTTCTTATTACCTTCTCCAGGGCTAAGTTAAACAACATCGGTGATAGTTTATCTCCCGGTCGATGATATACTAATGTATAATCTTCCTTTCTCAATATGGGAATTAAAGTATGTCCTAAATACTGCGGAAGTATGTCCTAAATAAGGGAACAACAGCTGGTTCTGATAATATCCATTATGATATGATTAAAAATCTTACTCTTGACACACTAAACTGGTTCTTAAAATACTACAACCATGTATGGTCCACTGGACACTTGATTGGTCCACTGGATCCTAAGAACAGAAAAGACAAGCGGCCCCCAGATAGCTTTAGTCCTATATTCCTCACAAGCTGCTTAAGCAAAATAATGGAACCGATGGTAAATAAAAGATTGATATGGATTATAGAGAAAAATAATTTAATGCAACCATTTCAGTCTGGGTTTTGAAAGGGGCGATGCACAATGCACCATCTAGTTGCATTGGAGGCAGAAACCCAACATACATATACATTAACATGCATTATTTCATCAACGCACAACATGCGATTGCTGTTTTCTTTGATATGAAGAAAGCTTTTGATAGCATACATCATCATCATTATCTTTGGCGCTTCAGCCCAGTTTGGACCTTGACCTTCTCAATGAGCCTTCACCATGTAGCTTGGTCTTGTGCGGCCGCTCTCCAGTTGCGGACATTCAGAAGTTCCCTGGAATCCCTGATGACAGCGTCCTCCCATCTCAGCCTTTTCCTGACTCTTCCTCTGGTCCGATGCAGCCTACAGTCCAGCAACTTCCTCAGGATCTCATCCGCTTGCATCCTGACGACATAGCCAGCCCAGCGCAGTCTCCCCAGCATTATGTGCCGCATCATGTCTCTCTCTGGAACAGCTCGTAGACCTCCCTGTTGGTTCGCCTCCTCTAATTCTCGCCTACCTTGACACCACCGAATATTCGGCGCAGAATTTTTCTTTTGAACACCAAGATCTCCTTTTCTTCAGCACTTGTCAGGGTCCATGCTTCCGATCGGTATGTGAGGACTGGCCGGATTAGTGTCTTGTAGAGCTGGCATTTGGTGCGGCGTGTGACAGCTCTGCTCCTCAAGTGCTTCCTAAGTCCAAAATAGCATCTGTTGGCCTTCACAAGGCGCTGGCTTGTTTCCAGGGTGATCCTGTTATTGCTGCTGACCACTGAGCCTAAATAGGTGAACTGGTCTACACATTCAAACGAAAATGGACCCATCTTCACCTCCCCTACAACAGTAGCCACTACATCAGGTCCAGCTCGCATATATTTAGTTTTCTCTTGGTTCACCGTCATGCCCATTGCTTCAGCTAGCCTCAGAAATGCCTCCATCAGCACCTGAAAGAATCTTGCCACCAGGTCCAAGTCATCGGCAAATCCCAGAACCTGTACCAGCCTGACAATGATTGTTCCAGTGGTTTGTATTCCAGAATCCCTAATTACCTTTTCGAGGGCCAGATTAAACAAGAGACACGCGAGGCCATCGCCCTGCCTCACCCCCCTCCTGGACTCAAATTCTGGTGAGAGATCTCCCTGAATCCGAACTGAGCATTTCACCTCATCCATTGTGATCCTTATTAGGTGCACCAGTTTGGGAGGTATCCCACAGCGCTTCATATATCTTGGACCTTTTAATGCTGTCATAGGCACTCTTGAAATTGACAAACATATGTGTTGTCATCTTGTGCTCCATGGTTTTCTTCAGAATAGTCCTCAGGCTGAACATCTGGTCAACTGTCGATCTTCCTCCCCTGAATCCCGCTTGGTATCTTCCTACTTCCCTTTCAGCAAATGGACGTAGCTTCATGTAAACAACACTGGAAGAAACCTTGTAGGCACACTGGAGAAGGGTTATCCCGCTGTATGGATAGGATAATGTTATACAGAGCTTTATGAAGTTCTTCGCTGCCATACCTAAGAAGCTCAGCCGGTATTCCATCTTCTTCTGGTGCTTTATTGTTACTGAGGCGACTGAGAGCATCCACGGCATCATCAAATGTTGGTGGATCAGGGGGATACAAATCGTCCCGCATGTCATGAGCTTCTAAAGTCTCCGGCTCTTCGACATCTTCGTTTAGGAGAGTGCTGAAATATCGCGACCATCTATTGAGGATTTCTTCCTTTCTGGACAGTAGCGAGCCGTCTTCCTTTCTACAGGCTTTAATTATTGGCTTAAGCGGCGCCCTGCTCTCATTTATTTTCTTGTAGAAGGCTCTAATCTCATTTCCATTCCTATGAGCTTTCATTTCTTCAAACTGCTTTCGCTCCCATTCCCTTTTCTTCCTCTGATGGACCCTTTTCTCCTGCCTTCTTTTGTTTTTGTAATCCTCTGAAGTTTTTGTACTTTCCTTGTACCTCTTCTGAATCATGTTTGTGTAGGCCCAATTCTTTTCCTCCGTAGCCACTGCACACTCATCGTCGAACAACGGTGACCTCGCTACACTCGCCTCCAGACCCAGCGTTTCCTTGGCTGCATCCTTGACAATCGACGAAATTAAGCTTCATTGCTCTTGTACTGAGCCTTCTGTTGCTCTGGGGTCTTCAAGCTTCTCATTAAGCTGCTGATTGTACCTTGATATTACCTCGGGGTCTTTAAGCTTGGCTACAGCAACCTTTTCCACCTTTTCTCCACTGGCCTTTCGAACATTGGATATCCTCGCCCTGATCTTGGCCACCACAAGGAAGTGATCAGTATCCATGTTTGCACCACGGTAAGTCCTGTAGCTAATCAGATTAGATCTATGCCTCCTGCTGATGAGGATGTGGTCTATTTGGTTCACTTTTGTACCATCCGGGGAGCGCCAAGTATCCTTGTGGATCCTCTTCCCAGGGAATAGAGTGCTACCTGCTACTAAGTTCTTAGAGACGGCAAAATTAATCAGGAGGCACCCATTCTCGTTGGTCTTTTCGTGCAGACTATGAATTCCAATAGTTGGCCTAAAGACTTCCTCCTTGCCAATTTTATCGTTGAAGTCATCCAAGATTACCTTGATGTCGCTCTGCGGGCAATTGTCAAAAGCTCTGTCCAGTTGATCATAGAAGGCTTCCTTCTCTTCCTCTGGTGACACCTCTGTGGGGACATAACAACTGATGACACTAAAGTTGTAGAATTTTTCCTTCAGCCCTATAACACAGATCCTCGGGTTAATGGGAGTGAATCCTATGACCAGATCCCTTATTCTTCCTCTAACCACAAAACCGGTTGTACCTCATGGCAGCTATAATAGACAGTGTGGAACCGTTTCTCCAGCATTCCTTTTCCCTTCCATCTCACCTCCTGTAGAGCGACCATGTCTATTGCAGAAGTGTCCAATTGTTGTAGGAGCTGCCAAAGCGACCCAATCTATACATAGATAAAATTTTAAGTCCATATGGCGAATCCTGTGTTGTTTTCGTGTGATCAGTCCGACTATTTCTCGTTTAGGTTTCATGATACTTAAGGGTTTGAGGGGAGCAGGTTATCAGCATACTGCTCCCAAGTCAGGTGGAGGGGCTGCCTCCTCAGAGCTCCCTGACTTGCTCCCCCATCCGGGGTGGCTACCTAGGGGAGGTGATCTTTGACTGTAGTGTGAAGTGTGTGCAGTGTGCTGTATTAGTGTACTGTATGCTGTCATGTAATGACAGCATACAGCATGATTTAATCTTTAAAAGGCTGTCATCAGTTGGAACAATAGGGAACATGTTCAATTATATCAAACAATTTCTTTCAAATCACCATTTTAGAGTAAGAATAGGCTGCGAAACATCTAAGGAGCATCAGATCAGTGGTGCCCCACAAGGCTGTGGCCTCAGGCCACCATTGTTCTGCATAGCAATAAATGACTTGGGACTTAACTTGCCTAGAGGTGTCAAATCTCTATTGTTCTATTGTTGAAGCCGTAAATAGAATAAAACCTTGGTCCCTTTCTACTGGTATCGAATTTTCTACTGAAAAAACAAAGTGTTTCCATTTCATTAGAAAGTGAAATACTCCTCCCTCTCTTGACATTTACTTGGGCAATTCCCTGATCCCTTATAAAAACAGTCACAGATTCCTGGGTATGGTATTTGGCCGAAGACTGAAATGGGAAACTCATATTTCAAACTTAAAAACGGACGCAACCAAAAAGCTAACCATATTGAGATATCTTAGTGGTACTTCCTGGGGGATCAAAATCTGAAGAATCCACATCATCTTCATGAGTTTATGATAATGTAGTCCGTAGAAAATCTTGGGGGCCTAGTAGTGAGGCTCTTAGAAGAATGTCAAAACCTGGATTGCATCCAAAGAAGATAATGCTTTCCATATGGTGGGATTTCAAGGGTTTTATTTTCTATGAGATATTCCCATTAGGAAAAAGAATTGGTTAAACTCTATACTGCTCAAAATTAACAAAATTGGATCATATTAGATAGTAAAAATAAACGCCCAGAACTGGCAAATCGGAAGGGTGTTGTGTTCCACCAAGACAACGCTAGGCCCCCCAACCTCATTGGTCACTCGCAATAAATTATTAAGCCTTGGATTGGACCTTTTGGCCCACCCTCCCTATTATAAGTTCCCCATTCAACATAAATTTATGCTATATTCAATTGCCTATTTGTTTATAAATACATATTTTTCACTTGTTAATTCCAATTATTTATAAAACTTCTTTCCCATATCACAAATTTATAGATTATCAAACGATATAACTTTAAATAACATAATTAGAATAAATCTCATCGAAGGAAATCATTGGTAATCCATATTTTAAACACCAACTAAATATAAAAATTTGATAAAATAGTTTGTTTCGCTTACCTTGGAGCTTCCAACAAGAAGAGGAGAATTTTCTTTTTGCCCTGAAACAAAATCTAAAATAATATTACAAATAATAAAATAAAAATTTAATTTATAGTGGTTCATTTGCCTATTGGTCAGAAATAAATTAATCAAAAATTAGTATTTGGTTGAAAATTTTAGAAAAAATAAATTAGCAAATGAACCACTATAAAATGAACAAAGGTCAAACAAGCATAATGAAATTGATTTAATTGATTATTAAAAAAATCTTCAATATGTTAAAAGTTACATATCTTATTAGAATAATAATATGTATAAACATTGGCTTATTCCTGAATGATTCCAAGATTTGCAACAATTTTTAAGTCTTTATGTTTATTTGACAGAACGCGAAAGCCGCCTTCACCTCCCCATCCCTCCCCGTAGATCCGCCAAACATAGGTGTTATGTATTAATTCATGATAGGAAAATCAAGACAGCTATTAATTTTAAATTAGTTAAACTTGGCTGTTTCAATTATTAAAACATTCGCAAGAATTTATATTTTTAATAAAAAAAAACTACCTTTATTTAAAGTATTTTTTCAAGGGAAAAATCTATCCATATATTTAAGCGGAATAGTTCTCAAGCCTGGGGTGCCCAGAAGGAGATTTCATGGCGCAATTTGCGCCATTAAAATTTATGAGGGGGGCACATTTTGAAGTGGTTTAAATTTTTGAGGGAGGCACATTTCGATGGTGTTATGAATTTTCAAAAAGAAAAAAAAATGGAAGCATGGAGGAACAGACAGCAGGATGTGTAATTGTACTCTGAATATTTAAATTCTACTTTCATTTGTACTGTTTTTGAGAATCAGAGAGCAATAAAATATCTTGGGAGGGGTGAGGGACGATTTATGCGTCATCAGTCTTTTGAGATGGGATGGGTGTTTCCTGTCGCAACCCAAAGCTGACCCTACACGGTCATTCGGAATTGCATTCCGAGGCACTAATGACGTTCCGATTGATCTTGTAAGGTACTGATTGAAGTACTGATGGACGTGTCTGGCGGATTTCCGAAAATCCATAAACCAAAGATTCATTCACGAGAAGGGGAGGGGAGAGTGAGGTAAAAGTAGTGGGGAGACTAACCATACTACTACATAAGTTAATTTACCGAGGCTTCACAACTATTGTAAATTCCAGATTTTCATTATATTTTATAAACCATCTTCAACTATTTTTCTTAAATAGTCAAGTGGGCAATAAATAAAAAAAAAAAAGTGGAAACTTCAGGCCTCATAACCATTGTTCATTTCATGAAAGTAAATAGTTTTTTATATTCTTAGTTTATATGTTTATAAACCATTTTCAACTATTTTTTCTTTAAATAGTCAAGTGGGCAATAAATAAATAAAAAAAGTGGAAATTTTACAATTTACTTATAGAAGAAAAATCTTTAACTGTTGTGTTTATTTATCATTAATGTTTCAATTTTTCTTAACAAATTGTTTATTTTCGCAATACTTTTTCTTAATTTTTGTAAGTAGTTGACTTATATTTTTCTAACTTTGGTCTAAACGATTTTCAGGCACTAGGAAGTAATTATTATATCTCCATTTTATTCTTGATGTCCAATGCTATAAAGGACAATGTCCAAATAAGGTTTTTAAATTAAACATATTATTATAAGTGGACAATTCACCAGATCCATGCTGCCTGTTATCTCAAAGTCAACTGAGCTAAAATGGTCAGTAATGATTGAACGGGTAAAGTTCATCAGGATCAAAGCGATTCCGGAAAATCCTTGTCAGTCTTGTGACTTTCATTCACGACTGATCGTGTAAAGTCCGCTTAACTTTTTTTTTATTACCCCCTACCTCACCATTTCTGGTATACAGGGGGAGGCGAACAATTTTATAAAGAAACGACGTCGCAAGACACAAGAATGCTGAAAACGGGCATCGCTTTAACACGCTCGGCCTATAGTCACAAACATAATTAACATACTACTCCTCCGTTCTTCAAAAGCCCTGATGGAGACCCACAACGTTGCTAGATCGGCAGTCAGTCCGGTTCTTGTATAATAGCGGGTAGCGTCAAAACCTCCATTATTATCTAATCTTATTTCACATAACCTCCCTTATCTCCTCAAATAACCTAAGTTATTCCCTTGTTTATTATTTGTTCCTTGTGTAAGCTGTAAATTAGTCTTATTTAATTATGGATGTTGTCACATTGTGGGAATTGCCGTCTTCAGAAGAAGAGTCTATCAAATATTTTCAAGACGCCGGGATATTTGCAAAGGTGAAATATTGTGATGAAAGTCATCAAATGAAGTTAGACGGGAAGATTAAATGGAGATGCTTTCGTTGTTGTAACAAAACCGTTTCTATAAGGAAACCTACTAAAATAAATCAAGTTAAAATAAAATTGTTCATATTTAAAATAAAGTTGTTTATATCGTTTCTTTTATATGTACATATGATCTTTATAGTCTTCATAGTGTTTCTTTTATACGTACATATGTGTTTAAGTGTTTTCTTATTATTTCATTTATGTTTGTCTATTTTTTTGCCTATTTTTATTATTTCATTTATTTTTATATATATGTTGCAATGTTTTTTAATTATATATGTATAATGTTTTGGTCTATTTAATATATATCTTGTAAAATAAAAGTATTTTTTATTATTACATCTGTTTTTGTTTTTGTCCACAATTACAATAATACCAATACAATACAATAAACATGAATACGAAGATATAATAATATGAATAAAATACAATAAATATGAATACAAAGATATTATCAGTGGCTTATCAGAGTTATCAGTGTTAAGGTTATAAACATTGGCAGATAGCAGTCAGTCCCGCCCGGCTATTATACAAGTACCATCAGTCCTTATCCAGCAATAAAATAGATGTTAAAAATGTTCAAATAATTGCATATTTAAGATTTTCCAAGACGGTTAAATAGATTCAATCGCATTCCAAATACAGACAATTCGATTAAACCAAAATTCGTTTAAGTTTTGGAAACACACCTTCCTGGATCGATTTACACTATTGATGTTTAATCAATTTGCCGTGCTGAATATTTTAGTAGGAATCCTATTCATTTTTCGATTGGTTGAATGGAAAGCGTGGAGCGCATCGCGGTATTTGGGATAGCCATATCTGCTCAAATTTATGAATATTTTGATCACCTGACGATTGACTAACACGTTTATTAGCAATTAGTAGTATATTCCAAATGAAACTCTATTAATCTCGATAAAATAAGGTCATAAGAGCGATATATCGGCCAATACCGATAATCAGAAAAAAAAATATATTAATATCGGTGTCGGTCAATCCCTGCTTTTATGAAACTCAATGAACAAGATTCTTCTTTCAGCCAATTTTAGCTCTTTCCACTTTTAAAAAAAGTATGGAAAAAGCGTTAAATTAAATCGATAGAAAATCTGTTGTATTTGATCCTTTCAACTGTCAAATGATTGTATGGGAAAATATTGTGGTGTGTTTGGATTATTTCTGAAACTTAAATTGACACGATTTTTTGTAAATATATAGTGTATATTTGCTAATAACTAAATTGGAAACGCAGCCTCACCATAATGTTAATTATATATATAATATATATATATATATATATATATATATATATATATATATATATATATATATATATATGTTTTTTCTTAAGATATTTTATATTAAGATATATTAAAATCTGTTACATTTAAGGGCAATAGTAATAGTGATAAAGAGTAGTTATTCATACTCTGTACAATAAATAAAGAGAAATATAATAATACTAAAAGTAAATGAATATAAACTAAAAGATACTAAACTAAACAAAAATAAACTAATCAAAATAACTACTTAAATATTACAGTTCAATTTAATAAAATTTGTCAACCTCTTTTAGAGGATGGTATACATACATAGTATTCGTTTGATAAAAGCTGAACTGGAAAGGCATGAGTCTTATAATGTGAATTTCATAGTTTAATTTAATAAAAGTTGTTAACATCTGTTATAAAATGTATGTAGTATTTCTTTAATAACTGCTAAATTGGAAGAGCAGAAACTTTACAATGTGAATTAAAAAGTTTAATATAGTAAAATCTGTTAATCCTATTATTCTGTGGTAAATACATATATGATGTCTTGGGCAGTTGCTAAATTGGAAATATTGAAACCTTACAATGTGAATTTAAAAATTTAATTGATGAAAATATGGTTTGTACATAGAAATGGGTTTGAAAATAAACAAATCAGACAGTTAAAAAAGTCACAATATGAATTTATTCTATAACAATAAAATTGGAACCACTGTACAAGTGTCACTCCTTAAATTTCCTATTGGAAATCGAACAATTGTTTATATTTTTTTTTTTTTTTTTTTTTTTTTTTAATAGCTCTCCATGTCTTCTATCACTTCTAAAAATATTTTCCTCTGTATATAGGTTGTCTCGTATTAAAAAGGACACATTTAAATGGGCGATAATAAAAGTCACATTTTTTGTTGAATAGGAAGCGATAACTAAAAAAACTATTTCATTTACGTAGTTATAAATTATATAACTGTAAACAAGAGAAAATTTACTTCAAACGAGAGTAAAATTTTCTAATGTTAAAGCCATTTAAAAAGGACTATTGAACTAAGTTCGGTTTTTAAAAAAATTATAATTTATTTTTAACCGCCATTTCTTTTTATCATTAACTACAGTACAGATACACCAATTTTTGAAAAAATTTCCTCGTTTAATAAGTTTTAACTTCTTATTGATTAAATCGAGGTTTATTAGGGATAAACTTGAGATTCAATCCAACTTGCGTAAAAAAAATGAGGTGTTTTGATATCCTGCTACCTTAAAGTACCCATCTATTCAGCAAAAAAAAACTACAATCAATTATTGCAAAGCTCAAAATTTCCTTTTTTACATTGAGTTTGGATGTATATATGCATAAATATAAATGCATAAACACACTTTTTATTAAAATAAATAAAAATAATGATTTTTCGATTATTCATCTCTTAAAGTGGTTATAAAGATGTGTTTTACTAATAGCTCAGCAACCTTG